GGGGGCGGTGGGCGCGGCCCGCGGGGAGGCTCGGGAGGCCGAGGCGGGGGGACGGCACGCGCGCCAGGAGGCCCTGACGTCCCTGCGCCTGGCACAGTGATGGGTGAAGACGAAGAGGCCCAGGGCGGAGGCCGCCACCCCGTACAGACAGCTGCACACCACCCGGGGCAGCCAGCGCTGGGACACGCTCAGAGCCCCGCAGGCCCACATGGCCAGGTAGAGGAAATGCGTGGTCACCAGCGCCCCCAGCTGGGCTCCTGGAGAATAGAGACCGTCACCCTCCTCCGGGGGCCCGGGCGTCACCACCCCTGCGCTCCCAGCGGCCAGAAGGGAACCCGAGTCACTCAGGAGGGGGCCGCTGCTCCTGAGCCTGGTGGAACCCCTCAGCTCCTCCCCTGGCTCCAGGGAGACCCTGCTGGTGCCCCCCTTTGGGCTCTGTGCCAGAGGACCCCGTAAGCGCAGCGCCGCGCACAGGAAATAGATCCAGGTGATGAGCAGAATCAAAGCCACGGGGATGTAGAAGGCTCCTAGGCTTGGGCGCCACACTAGCCAGCAGCTGAGGGGAGACACAGGCGGCACGCGTGAGCGGGAAGGGAGGCTATGGTGAGTGGAGAGGCGGAAGCGGCTCAGTCAGCATGCAGGGCTTGGGGCTGGGTGAGGGGCTGGGCGGGTGTGCGGTGCCGCCGCATCGGAGTAGGAGGCATCGGGGCAGGGTGGGGAGGTTTGGGGCAGGCGGGCCACGCACTCACTAGGGGCTGTGGTCCCGGTAGTTGTGGATGTTGACAGCGGCTGTGATGCCACAGATAATGAGTGGGATCCCTCCCGCGATCAAATAGAACCTGGGGAGGAATGGGTTTGGGGGTCAGAGAGTTGGAGAACAAGGAGGGGCCAGGTGCTCAGGACCCTCACCTTGGGGTCTCTGTCCTATCCTCTTTCCCCTAGAAATTATGTCAGTTTGTTTGCCAGGGATGCAATGCTTCTCCAGGGCAGGTCAGTAGGTCCCTAAGGGATTTGGCCAAGACTGTTCTAAAGGACAGTGGCCAGAATTGCTTTCTGTCACCCTAAACAGTGCAGAAGCCAGGGGTGCCACTTGGGTTCCCAGGATCCCTGCCCAATGCCCTTTGAGGTCGCTCCCTTCCTGGCCTTGTCATGCCTGAAAACCCCAAGGATGCACCCCCTCCATGGCACTGGGCAACCTAGTGCCACCCAGGGCCTTGCCTCTTCTGCCTTTTATTTTTATTTTTTGGCTGAGGGATCTTAGTTCCCTGACCAGGGATTGAACCCTGGGCCCACTGCAGTGGAAGCACTGAGTCCTCACCACTGGACCCCCAGGGAACTCCCCACCTCTTCTGTCTTGGGAGTGTGATCTCCCAGGACCTTGGACCCCTGGGACAGCATCCACCCTGGGAGAACAGCTTTTGGTGTCCTCCCCCGACACCTGAGCCCTTCCCCACTGCAGAGCTGACATACCGGAGCATGGGTCGGGGGGCAGGCAGGGCAGCATCCCCTTCTTGTGGAGGTGGTGCCCTCCAGGTAAGCTCCTTGTGGAGGACACGGGCCTTCACCCCCATCCAGAGCAGTGTGGACAGTGAAGAGTAGTGCAGGGTGATGCCCACCTATAGGGTCAAGGCACTGAGGCTGGGGGTCTGGCCGTCCCAGAGCCTCAGCCCCGCAGTGCTCTCCTGTGCCTCCTGTGTGCCCAGCCTCCAGCTCCACCCAGAACCTCCCCAGGGTTCTGTCCCTGCCAGTACCCTCTCTACTTCCAGCCCAGGGTTCTCCCCCATGCCAGGGACTCTCCATGACCCTGTCGTTGCTGCCTGGCTCGTCCCCGACCTCTCTTCCATCGCAGGACCCCACTCTCCACTTTGTCCTGTCTCCTAGTTGCTCTGCTTCTTACCTCCCCTACTCTCATGCCCACCTCGCCCACGAGGCTGGACATGGAACAGCGGAGCGGGAGCCCACTGCCATGAGCCCCCTTCCTCCCGCGTGCCTCCCTCCTGTACCCTAGGCTGCCGTCTCCGATCTTGGAGAACCCCCCCCCCCCACAGCCCTTCTCCTGCTTACCGCCTGGCAGACCATCTGGTAGTTGGTGAGTGTGATGCCTCCCGCAAAGACGGCGGAGGTCATGGCCATGTGGAAGCACAGGTTCAGCAGCATGTGCCAGCCCTTCCGGGACACATGGATGGAGCTGCCACAGAAACAGTCTTTAACAAATGGGCCACCCAACCCAAGGTCAGGCCTATGGGGGTCTCAAGGTCACTGGGAGAGTCAACGAGGAGAAGGCAGATATCTGTGTGCACGCGTGGGCGTGAATGGGATGGACACCTTAACCCCCAAACGCATTTTCCAACTGCAGAAGCTTCGAAGGAAAGGCTAGGCAAGAGCCTGGGAAAGGAACACCCACTGTCGCCTTGCCAGTACTTAGTGACACTCAGCATGCCCTCCCTTCCCGCAGGAGCTCCCACCTGTGGTGGAGGATGTAGGTGATGATGGTGGAGAAGAGGCAGAGCAGCAGCAGGGCCGTGCAGGGGTACACGACGGGGTGCAGGCCTGCCCCTGAGCCCTCCACCTCCCTGGGGAAGGCGCGCAGCTCCTGGAAAGAGCAGAGAGAAGAAGTGAGTAAGGGGAAGCCGGGAGCTGAGAGGCCGCCCTGTGGAGTCCTGGCCGGTCCCCCAGGCCAGTTTTCCTCTTCCCAAGCCCAGTCAGCTTTGGGCCCCAGCTTTGGCCTTTGGCTCATCTGGGTAGCAAAGATGTAGGCACCATGACACCCTCTCTTAGAAAGTCGGTCTAGGTGGCGTTAATGATCTGCCTTTCTGGGAACTTTTCAGGTTCCCAGCCCGAGAATCAGGAGGGAAGAGGGGCAGGTTCTGTCTATCATACGGCGGCATGCCTGCTTAGGATCTGGAAAAGCGGGCTGTGAAGTGTGGTGCGGGCATGGGGGCTGGACAGGGGTGAGTGGGGAGGGTGACCGGGAAGGAGAAACGTTCCCAGGTTTTTTTTCACTTTAACGATCTGGGTGTCAGAGAGCGCAGGATGTGGAGACCAGGCTGGGTGGTCTCTGATCCATCGCTCTCAGTATGGGAGTAGAAGCAGGACCTCTCTGTCTTTTTTTTTGTGCTCTGGGGCTGCTACTATGGGGATGACCTGATAGAGGGCCTGAGGACCTGCTTGTCTTCTGAAAGATGAAGAGGTATGGGGGAGACCAGAGGGCCATTTATTTCCCTGCGAGTCCTGACCGTCATGAGGCCCGATAAGGCCTCTGTTTTTTCAGGATTTCTGTGGCCCCAGGCGCTCAGGGTGCCCCTGGTCCCTCCCGGCACCCCTTCTGCGTTCCCCTGCCCTCCACCCCCGTGCCCGCTACCCTCACCATGAGCACGGCCACGTTGCCCAGGTGCTGGCACTGCAGGGAGCTGACGTGGGGCTGGCTGGAGCGGAGCTGGCAGCCCTCAGAGCTCCAGCCCCCGGGCCCCCCCGGCCCCTCCTGGCTCCACCAAGCGGCCACGGGCTCGGCCCCCTCAGCCCAATGCCGCAGCGAAACAGCCACCGGCTCAGTCAGGTTTCCCACGCTGCAGCCACCTACAGGGGAGGGGGTCCACTCAGGCTCGGTCAGGGCGTGCGCGGGGCTTGGGGAATAGAGTTAGATGCCAAGTGCGGGCCTGCCCCCCAGGGCCTCAGCCTAACTGGGAGACACAAGGATGAATCAAAATAAAGGCACCCGGAGGTGGTGGCCCACCTAAGTGCCAAATGAGTCGTGGCGACATGCCCAGGAAGGGAGGACTCTGGGGTCCGGGACGAGAAGGTGGAAGGTGACACGGAGGGAGCGGAAGCCCGAGTGAAGGGAGGATTCAGGAGGGCACCCTGAGGGGGAAGTTGGCACCAGGTGAGAAAGGGGGACGGAAGGAGGCCCAGGTGGGTGGAGGGTTCGTGTTATAGCCCTTTGGAAATCTGACGAATCTGGGCTGTGAAACCCAGGGTCTCCTGAGCCTTTTCTCCACCAGTCCGTTCCTTCACGGGTCATCCCTGCCCCGCACCGCCCGCGGAAATGGTACAGGGCCACCGCCCCCGGCCACCTCCAGCAGGTCGTGGGGGGTGCAGGGGAGGGGTCCCGGGCGGCATGGTAGGGCGGGCGGGGTGCAGGCCCTTACTGGTTCCCGCAGAGATGACGGGGGTGGCCACGCCGCGCCTCTTGCCAAGCCCAGCGGCTCCAGGGCGGGAGGTGTTGCCGTGGCTGCGGAAGAGACGGCCGTTTCGGAAGACGAGCAGCTGCAGGGTGCAGTCTGGGGGGGCCGGGGGGGCCAGGGCAGCCGGGAGAGACGAGAACAGACTGGGCGGCAGCTGGATGGAGGCCAGGGCCACGCTGTTCTGGGGGGAAACAGGAGTTCCTCAGAGACACCCGGGGTCCCTGGGGCTCCACTGTCCTCCAGCCCCTCCTCCTCCGTCCCCTCGCCCCCTGTCTGAGTCCTGCGTCCCCTCACACCATCCACCTGACCAGGCGCCTGCACCTCGTACCTGCCCTCTCAGCATCCTCCCTCCCCCGGCGCCCACCTTGATGTGGAAGGACGACAGAGAAACGTTGGGCCTCCCCGTGGTACAGCGGAAGCGGAGCTGCTGGTCGGCCAGGGGCTCCGGCTCCGGGGAGGGGTTCTGGCCGGGACCCAAGGGCCGGGTGCCTGGCGCACCGGCCTCCCTCCTCTGGAAGGCCGTGCAGGTCAGGCCCACGTAGCTGTGCGGCTTGATGAGGTAGGCCTCCAAGGCCACGTTCCTTGAGTTCTAGGGACAGGGACCTTGTCACCCCTTTCCTGGCCTTCTCCTGCTGGAAACCGCAGACCTGCTCAGGCCAACCCGCCGTCCTTGCTCATCACTCAGGGCCTGGCAGCCTCGCGTCTGCCGTGGAGTCCCCCGAACCCCTGCTCTTCGGCCCCTCCTCCCGCTCGCTCACACCCCGTCCTGGAGCTGGCCCAGCTCTTGCCACGTCCCAGTCCTGCTGCCCCAGCTATGCCGGGGAGCAGGGTCCTCGCCCCCCTCGGATCTCCCCCGGCAGAGGAGATGCTGTGCGCTGCTTGTTAGCTGGTTTGCCACCCACCGCTGGAAACTCCCCCTCTTCTCAGGCAACAGAAGTCTCATCACCCCTCCCCGGCCAGCGCTGCTGCCTGGCTCCCCAGCCTTCCTCCTGGCCCTCCTCCTTCCCACCCCCACATGCTTCCATCGGCTAGCCCTTCAACTCGGTCCCCACACGAAGGAAGCCCTGGGTAACTTCTCCGATGTCGCTGGCCTCCCTCTCCTCTGCCCTGCTCCCGACAAGTTGGAATTTGATGCCACACGAACGGAACCCTAGTCACGTTCTGTGTTCTCGCTAACTGGGAGCATCGCTGGTGCACACTCGGAGGACTTGCTCCTGGATGACAAGGGCTGGCCCCCGTCACCTCTGAGGTCCCTCCCTGTCCCTCCCTGGGCAGGGCACCCTCCCGGCTGGCCCACCGTACCACAGAGATGTGCTGGGCGTGGGCGCTCAGGGCGGCCCCCCCAATGCGCTCCAGGGCGCCCACGATGCCGCTGCAGGCCTTGTCCTCGCGCTGGGCCAGCCACAGCAGGTGCTCGTCCACCAGCATCATGTTGCTGGCCATATCCACCATCACCTCCACCAGCTGGAGGCGGGGGCGGAGTCACCGAGGGCAGGAGGGGGGCTGGGGACCCAGAGGCTGGGGCGAGACCGGCTTGAGCAGGTGGGGGGCAGGTGATTTCCAGGGGCCCCAGGGGCCCGATCGAATCTCACCTCTTTGATCTGGTCGACGTAACCCAGAAACTTCTGGATCATCTGAGCCACGTAGACAACGTCCATCATGTCGGAGAAGCTGGCGGCCTCGGCCGTGTATACTCGAAGCTGGTGGGCCAGGGTCAGCGCGTTGGAGGCATTGATGGGCATCTGGGGGTGTGGGGAGGAAAGGGCACCGTCTAATCTGGCTCCTCCCCCAAAACAGCCCGGGGGCCCCCTCCTCTGTGCTGATGCTCAGAGCAACGGGGCCTAGGGAACAGGGTCTAGCCCACAGCTGGGTCTGATCCAGACAGGAGGCGAAGGTAAGGAGTGAGCCCTTCCCAACTCAGGGCCGCCCACTGGTTATGCCACTGCTTGAGGACAACGGGACGACCTCACGCTGTCCCTGCTTTCTGCTTAAGGCTGCCCTTGATGTACTGGGGACCTTGGGGTGGCCCACATGTCCCGAGTGTGGCCCTGGGGTCCTGAGTCCCCTGGGAGAGGGAAAGCTAGAGAAGAGCCTGAGGCACGGTGCCCACAGCCCTTCACCATGCACCCCAAGGAGGCAGCACAGCCCGTGAGGCCAGCAGGCTTCTCCCCGCCCCCTTTCCCGTGCCCCTCCCCTCTCCTGGCCTCACCAGCACGAAGGTGTAGAGCACCCGGGTGATGTCGTTGGTGTACAGACAGTGGGAGTAGTCCCCCGGCTCCCAGCGGCCAGCTCGGTCACACCGGCGGGAGGCTCGGGTGCCAGGGGCACCCCCGCTCAAGGGCACCGAGGTGAAGGGGTACTGCAGGCAGGACTGGTAGGCTGTGATGCCAGCCAGAGTTCGAGGCCACCTGGGGGCAGAGGTGGGAAGCTGCCAATGACCTAGGCTCCTCAGCCAAGAGTCCCTCCCCCGCCCTGAGAACTGTGAGGCCAGACTCCTTGGGAGCTGCAGGAAGGGCCCAGAAGAGGGTGTTTGTTTGGACGGGACTTCAAGGGATTCCCAAGCTCCACCTCCTTTCTAAAGCTGTGTTTGTTGGGACAGTGCTGTCACTGGTGCTGCGAGGCTGGACTTGAAGTCCTGAGTTCAAGTCACTTATGCTTTCTGGGCCTTAGTCTTCTCGGCTGTACGATGGGGAGAATAACTCCTCCCCTGCCTAAGTGAGAGGCCACTGGGATATGAAAGTGTGGCATCCGTAGTGGGAGAGCTTTGTCAGCTACGCATGTAAGGAAGAAAAAGGAAAAAAAAAACCTGTTTGTTCTGCACAGCACATTCGGAGGGTGATTTTATACAAAAGGATACGGTCTCTGTAAATATGCCAGCGGGACCTGGAGCTGAATGACAAAAGGCAGTGTATTCTCCAGCTTGGAGTGGGTGGGGGACTGGTCCCCGGTGGTCCCAGGGGCAGGAGCGGGGTGTGGGCCGGGGCCCGGGTCTCGAACCTGAAGTCCCCGCGGTTGTTGGCGACTCGCTCTGCGGGGCAGTAGGAGGCCGAGGTCTCCAGCACCACGATCTCCACCTTCTTGCTGGCGTTTCCCTGGACCGTAGACACGGAGCACTCCCATTCGCCTGAGGCCCACACGCCGATGTGAGACAGGGTCAGCTCACTGTGGGCGGGCAGGCGGGCGAGGGCTGGCTGGAGGCGCTCCCGGCGGCCAGCCACCCTCCCCAAGCGCCCGGGGGCCACCCCAGGGCACGCAGGGCATCAGCTTCAGGCTCATTTCTTTAACTGAGCCAGGGATACATGTACACGCTTCTCTTTAACTCTGATTGGCCTTCCGTTAGTGTTTTTCTTTTTTTTGGCTGTGCCGTGCGGCTTGCAGGATCTTAGTTCCTCGACCAGCATTAACCCCGGCCCTGGTAGTGAAAGCGCTGAGTCCTAACCCCCGGACCGCCAGGGAATTCCCCAATTTCCCCATCTTTTATCACAGAGATAATATTACCTCTCTTGCAAATCTACTGGAGAGATCAAGTCCAACAATACAGGTGAGAGCCGCTATATCATTGTAAAAGCACTGAAGAAATGTCAGATATAATCGTTTTCTTCTATCAGGCGTTCAATCTGTCCCTCATCCAGACCATTTCTGACTTAGTCCTGGATGTGCGTCAACACGCCCGCACGTATCCCCAGATCAGGCCATCTCCTTTGCAGGGTGCGTGAGGGTACTGTGGCCACCCCTGCCCGCGCTGTGGGCCCAGAAGGGGCCGCAGGGCCTGTACCTGGTGATAAAGGTGCAGTCGTGGATGAGGCTGTCGCCCAGGAGGATGCCCGCCTGCTCGTCGCCCTCCACAGGGGCCCGGTTGTGGTACCAGCGGACGTGGGTGTCATTGCCCAGGTAGCTGGCCGAGCACTGGAAGGGCAGTCGGTCGCCCTGGAAGACCACTTGGCGGAGGGATGGGATGAGGTGATGTGTGTGCAGCTCCAGGGCCCCCTCTGTGGGAGGGGACACTGGCAGTGAGACTGAGTGACGGGTGAGGGTCCAGTGGGGGCAGAGCCAGGTCCCTCTGTCTGGTCTGGAGCCCGCCCCAGCTCGGAAGGAGAAGGAGGGCTGGAGCATCTCCGGAGATAAGAGCGCAGGAGAGGAGCAGGAGGGTTTCGAACGAATAAAGATGCTTCTTTCCACTGCACACTTGTCACCCCGAGAGGTGGGACCAGACGAAAACATAAACAAAGCAGTGGCCCCAAAGGAAGTTTACAAAAGCAGATGGAGGACCAGCCCCCAGTGGGATCTGAGGGAGAGGATGCCCTGGAGACCAAGCCCAGCGCACAGGGAGCCTTGAGCCAGCAGGGGCCCCTCAGGAGGGAGCCTGAGGGTGCAGGTTTGCTCACCACAGCGCAGCTGGGCCTCCTGGAGGCCACCCAGGGCCTGGGCGTGCAGGGCGCTGGGGTAGGCACAGAGCGTGCGCTCCGACAGCTGCACGGAGCGATTCCGGGCCCAGGACAGCAGCCAGCGCAGGCGGCAGTCACACGTCAGGAACTCGGTGCCCAAGTCCCTGCAGGGGGGTGGAGGGGCCACAGGGTAGAGCAGAGAGAGTGTGAGCTCCCCGGGGTGGGGATGGAGCCCCAGGGAGAGACTGAGGCTGGAGAGGGCCGGGGAGGGCAAAATTGTGCACGTGTGCCCTGCTGCCACCATGGCCGCCACGGCAAGCACGGGGAGGCGCATATGGTGGAGCTTCAGCCATCGTCTGTCCCATCTCCTCAGAAGGCCGGCCACGTGGGCACGGTGCTTATGCGTCTCCCTCCTGGGAAGTGGAAGGAAGCAGGGGCCTGACTGGTGGGGCTGGGGAAGGATACTCACACAACCTTAAGGGCTGGCAGCTCATCAAAGACTCCCGGTGGCAGACTGGAGAAGATGTTTCCAGATATGTTTCTGCAGGGAACAGGGAGAGGGGATCTTAGGCTCTCTCTGAGCCACAGGAGGTGGGTGGTGAGTGACGAGAATGCGGGGACCCGTGAGGCTTTGGGGAGCCTTCCCTCTGCCCCCCTCCCCGCCCCTCACTCACAGCCGGAGAAGCCTGGGGAGGCCTTGGAAGGTCTCAGAGGTGAGACAGCCAATCCGGTTGTTGGAGAGATCTCTGGAGAGACACACACAACCTCAGCAAGTCGGCCACGTGGTAGCGCACGGATCCGCTTGTGAGGGACACACGCGTGTGGGCGGGGCTTGTGGGCGGGAGCGGAGAAAGACCCGGTGCTGGGGCATGAACTGTCCGCCCCCAGCCTGTTGCGTGGGGGAGAGGCAGTGAGGGAGGGTGAGTGGGAGGGCGGCGGCACCCACGGGACCGCCTCCAGGGACGAGGGGCCTGGGGCGTGGGGTCAGGACAGGGCCACTCACAGGCGCTTCAGCTCCCCCAGACCCAGGAAGGCGCCCGCCTGCACTGTGCTGATGACGTTGTTCCTCAGGTCCCTGTGGGAAGCAAGCGGGGGCCTCACACCTCGCCCGCTCCGGGCCCACGCGGCTCTCCGGGCCGGGCGGCCTCACCGCCGCCAGTGCCGGGCTCTCGGTTTCCCTCTAAGTCCCTGCTCGCCTCAGCGCGGCTGGGAGGCCGGATGAAGGACCTGGCCTCTCAGACGGGTCCCCCTCCGCCTCCCTGGGTCAGGGAGGATGCAGACACCGAGAGATCCGGGGGGAGGGCCTCGGATGAGGAGGCCGGCGCGGCGGAAACGGGAGAGGAGCTGGCCCTGAACCCGGAGTCAGGAGGCCTCGGTTCCCGGTTCCCGCGAGCTGCCCTGAGTTTCTCAGTCTCTCAGGGCTGCTGTAGAATCGTTTGAAAATGGGTGTAACGGCCCTTTGTCAACTGCTACACAAAGGTAAGGTCATCTTGAGCCTGGCCGCGGGGAGGTACTTTAGAGCCGTTCGGGCGGACGCTCCACCTGGCAGGTGAGGAAAGGTCCCGGGCTGGCTGGTGACCCTGTGGATGCTGCCCCGGGGGCGTTGTCCATCACCTGGCCCCGCCCCTCAGCCCTCAGATGAGGAAGCCGAGGCCGAGGGGGTCACCTGCCGCCCTCCCCCCAGGCCTCCTCGAGCCCCTGGTGCAGAGAGAGGGTGGCAGGGGAAGTGCCACCTCGGGCTGGGCTCCAGCAGGTCACAGACTGGACAGAAGATGGCAGTTGGCCCCCAGGCACCACAGGGCCAAGTGTCACCCACCAGGAGGGACGAACTGCAGGGAAGTTTTCAGAGTAGCTTCTGTCCCAGGCTCTGGTGGCTCAAACTCCATCACATGGTCAGAGTGCCACCCTCCCTCCACTTTGTCACATCCTCCCAGGGCCAGCAGGGGCGGGCCGAAGGGACAGTCCCGGCCCACTGGGGACCGGCCGGTGCCCACACGGCCCCAGCCCCGCACCAGACCCGGCAGCCCTCTGGGACCACTGAGGCCCAAGGTGATGGCCGGCCCCCTGGCCTGCCCCAGCACCCTGTCCTCTCTGGGGCACAGCCATGGGGAGAGGCGCCAGGCTGACCCAACACTTGCCCACCTACCCAAGGCCTACCTGGGTCTTTCCCGAGCCAAACCAGAACAGGCTCACGGCCCACAGAGACCTTACCAGGAGGCCTCACTGCCCACCTGGGGGCGGGGAGGGCTGACGTTCCAGCATCCTCTCAGGCCCACCCAAGCACCCAGGAGATCATGAAGCAGAGGGCAAGGGTGGGGGGGTTCCTGGAATAACCAACTTAGGTTGGCCTGTGTGGTCAGCCTGCTTTCCAAGGCCCTGCCCCCGCCGCCCCCCCCCCCACCCCCCGCTCCCCGGCCCAGACCCGCCTTCTTGGCTCTGCAGGCCAGAGTCTCAGGGGCAGCTCCGGATTATGGGCAGCAGGGGGTTAACTGAGCCAGCTCCCTATGTGGGGAGAGGAAATGGGTGTCCAGGATGGGGAGGTGCCGTCCCAGCAGGGGGCCTGTTTTCACACAGACAGTCCCCGCTGGGGACAAAAACACCCAGAGAGAGACAGAGGAGACAGAGAGACAGAGACAGAGAGACATGCAACAAATCCCCTGCCCAGCCCTGCCCCTGGCCGGGGCTCCTCACACCTCAGCACCCTCTCATACCAAGGACTTGGGCTGCATAACCCTGCACCCCGCTGAGAAAGAAGAGGAAGCCCCCAGAAGGGCCGCTTCGTGCAGGCGGCGAATGTGTGAGAAGGCAGCCCCTAGAAGGCTCCTGCAGAGTGGAGGCTGGAGATGGCGGGGAGAGCGCCCGCCCGCCCGCCCAGGGTTGCCCTCCCCCACACCCCACAGCCCGGTCCTCCGATGCTGCGGCAGCCCGCGCCCCCGGCCCCTCTTGGGTTCTGGCCATTCTCAGGGCTCCGCCTCCCACCCGTGTGGGGGACGAGCAGAGGGAAACACATTCCTCATTGTGTCACTTCCCTTCATGGGCTGCCAAGGGGCCCAGACTGCAGCCCCCCGCCCCTTCCCTCTCCACTCACTATGTTTATTCTCATTTCCTCCCTGGCCCCCCTCGAGAACCCCCCGCCCGGCTGCCCCACTGATGCTCTACAGATGGGAGCACGGCAGCCCTCTCGGGCCCAGCCCCTTCCTGCCCTGGGTTTCCTGCAGCCCGGGCCAGCCCGGGCCTTCTGAAAGGGGAGCTTCCAGCAAGTGTCAGCGGTCCTGACCTCTTGTCTCACGCCCGCAGAGAGGCTTCCGGGGTGACCAAGGCAGCCCTCAGAAGGAGTGCCCTCAGAGATGGCCTGCTGGCCTGGAACCAACCAGTCTTGGGTCCTCTCCGGAGGGGCACAGGCCAGGGGCGGCTCCTGGCTGAGCTGGTAGCCCGATGGGGGCTGGCCCCTGGGCAGCTGAGGCCTCCTGGTCCCTAAGGTGGGGGATGCAGCTCTGGGGCTGTACCCTCCCTAGTGGTAGGAGGAAATGCTACCATAGAACTTGGATATTTTTGTGGACCCGCGAGGCCCCTATAGGTTGGTGGTTCTGCACCTTTCTTGCTTAGCACATCCTTTGGAATATCTGATGAGGGCTATGGACTCCTGCCCTAGAAGAATGCACTACCCCCAATATTGTGCATCTGATTTCAGGGGCTCGTGGAACCTAGGTTACAAACTCCTGCTCTGGACTTGCTCATTGGATTCCTTCATTCCTTAGGTGAGGTCGCAAGGAGGCACAGATGCTTCTATGATGTGGAATCTCCTGCCCTCTCTCTGCTTCCACAGACCTCTGGTCTTGGAACCTGGAGAAAATGCAGCTTATGGGTGGAGCCTCCCTCCCTACACCCCCTCGCCTAATCCAGACCAGGCTCCTGGATCAAGATAGACCCCTCTCCCTGTACCTATGTCCACATGGAGGGGAAGGACACCCTATGGCAGAAGTTGGGGGGCGGGGGATACCTGGGAGCAAATCTTGCCCTATGTCCTTCTTGGGCAAAAAGCAGCTCAGGAAGCTGAATGTGTAAGACTGAGTGTATAAGCACAAGCAATAAAAGAGCAGATTGAGGACTTCCCTGGTGGCACAGTGGTTAAGAATCTGCCTGCCAATGCAGGGGATGCGGGTTCGATCCCTGGTCCGGGAAGATCCCACATGCTGCAGAGCAACTAAGCCCACAAACCACAACTACTGAGCCCGCATGCCGCAACTACTGAAGCCTGCGTGCCTAGAGCTCATGCTCCGCAACAAGAGAAGCCACCACAATGAGAAGCCCGTGCACTGCAACGAAGAGTAGCCCCCGTTCGCCACAACTAGAAAAAGCCCGGGTGCAGCAACGAAGACCCAACGCAGCCAAAAAAAAAAGAGCAGATTGATACGTTAGACTTGAAAATGTTAAACTTTTGCTCTTGAAAGGATACCACCAAGAAAGTTGAAAGACAACCCCTGGGATGAGAGAAGATATTTGCAAATCGTATACCTGATAAGGGACTTCTATCCAGAATACATAAAGAACTCTTACAACTCAATAATAAAAAGACAAATAGCCCAGCTGAAAAAAAATGGGCAAGGGATTTGAATAGACGTTTTCTTCAAAGAGGATATACAAATGACCAATTAATGCATGAAGAGGTGCTCAACACCATTAGGGAAATGCAAATCAAACCCACAATGAGAGACCACTTCACGTCCACTAAGATGGCTATGATTTAAAAAACAGAGATTGGAATCCTTATATATTATAGATGGGAGTGTAAAATAGTGCCGCCACTTTGGAAAACAGCTTGGCAGTTAAAGTTACCATATGACCCAGCAATTCCACTCCTTGGTACAAATCCAAGAGAAGTGAACATACATGAACACAAGAACACATATAGGAATATTCATAGCAGCATTATTCATAAGCCCCAAAGTGGAAACACCCCAAATGTCCATCAACTAATGAATGAGTGAACAAAATATGGTATCTCCATACAATGGAACATTATTTGGCCGTAAAAAAGAATGACTTGCCGATACATGCTATAATATGGATGAGCTTTGAAAACACTATGCTTGCTGAAAGAATCCAGTTACAAAAGATTACATACTGTGTGCTTCCTATTTATATGAAATGTCCAGAATAGGCAAGTCTATAGAGACAGAAAGTAGATGAGTGGTTTGCTTAG